GAAAATTAACCTAGAAATTAAAGATTAATAGGGAAAAAAATAGATAAATACATGCTTTATACTCGAGAACATTCATTCACGCAGAAAGATTCAATACAGAGAATTCTCAACAATGCAGCAACGATTAGCAATGCACATCAAATGAGTACTAATAAGCTATTCCGTTGACCAGCTGCCTTCTTTGACTGCTAATTTATGAGACCATTCAATGAAGGCACTAAGTTGTGATTTAAGGCACTGAATCTTGATCAACAGCAGAAAATACCAAGCCAGAAAACAAGCGATAAACGCAATCTGTTGCAAGAAGTAATCAGTTGAAATCGTCCATCTGAACACGCCCAACTGATAAATTCAGCATTAAGTCAAAGGTAGCAAAATGTCGGATAAACTGCTCCACCAGAAAATTACACACCTACAGCTAAAATAGACGAACCAGAGACCCATGCAGATACGTGGGATAGATTAAATGTCAGCCTAAGGTGTTAAATGGAAATTGTCGTCACAAACGCAGCAATTTTAGCATATGTTATTGTTTAGCATTGTCACTTCAGCAAGGATCAGTAACGATAAAACATTAAAAAGCAAACGTCCTTGAGATCTATTTTCCAAGCTTCCCAACAAAATTTTTTACACGCATGAAGTTAAGTCCTGAAATCAAACAATCAAGATTATTTTGTGAAGTCAGCTAAAAGGCAGCTCAAATTTAATAATAATAATAAGAATAAAAACATCCCTAATTCGTTTATAGATAACAACCTCTTGTGCTAACGCTACGCAGAGTTTGCAGCAACTGCAAAACAAATTAAATAACTGCTGAGTTTCATGATGGTAGCATAGAGCATCAGATCTGAACCATTCAAACCGTTCCCGCTCTTGAACGACTGTCAATGAACAGCGGTACTGTGAAACGCAAGTTTGGTTTGGACACCTTATGTCACAGCGTAGGGCAAGTAATCAAATTGCTGACATTGCAACCATTAATTTACAAATTACCGCCAACTGCTTCGCAAAGGTGCTAGAAAGGAGATGCCATGAAACAGTTGACCTCAAGATCCAAGAAAAAAAAGTGTGGCTTCCGGCCCGGTCGAAGCACCTCTGACCATATATATATTTGCCATGCGCCAGATTGTTGAGAAATCGTGGAATTACGCCCATCCGGTGTTCAGCGTTTTGTGGACTTAGAAAAAGCCCATGACCACAACCCACGCGACTGTTTGTGAACATGCCTTCGTGCATACGGGATTGATGGCAAGTTGCTGAGGGCCATCCAGTCACTGTATTCTGATAGCAGATGCTGTGTCAGAGTCAATGGCGTTAAGTCGAAACCATCAACTTGATGGCAAGTTGCTGAGGGCCATCCAGTCATTGTATTCTGATAGCAGGTGCTGTGTCAGGGTTAATGGCGTTAAGTCGAAAAAATTCAACGTTTGCACTGGTCTCCGCCAAGGCTGCGTTCTGTCCCCTATCCTGTTTGTGTTGTACATGGATAGAATAGTCAGGAGCTACCAAGGCGACGAGGGTATCGGTATTGGAGATGTTAAATCGAGAAGGTTGCTGTTTGCAGACGAGTGTGACGTGACCGGCGTGCGTGTGAACGCATCTGAAACGAAAAGTCTAGTGCTTTCTCGTTCTCCTGCTCTCTTGCTCTCTTCAGATTAACGGAGAGGCAGTGGAGCAGGTGGAGAAGTTCAAGTACCTTGCAACTTAATTTACTAGTGATGGAAAATTGGAGGAAGAGACCGACCAGCGGATTGCAGTAGCCAGTGTCGTTTTGCGTGACCTTCAGTCTGAAAACTAAGCTCTCGATGTTTAAGTCGATCTTTATCCTCATGTTTATCTACGGTCATAAATCGAGGACCATCACTGAAAACCTTCGAACCTGGGTACAAGCTGCTGAAATGGGTTATCTTAGACGAGTCGCTGGCCTTATGCGTCTCGACATGGTCCGGAATACTGATATCCGGAAGAGCCTTGGCATACAGCCTTTGTTTCTCCGGATTGAGAAGTCACAACTGCAATGGCTTGGGCTGGTGTTGCGAATACCTCCAAAGAGGAAGGCCAAGCAACTCTTTCTTGCAAATCCGATCGACAAATGGCCCAGGGGACGGCCAAGATGAACCTTATGCAAATATATGGAAGAAGTTGGTTCCATTCTGCAGTTGTGTTCTGCCGAAGCTGAGACACTGGCACAGGATCGGGAACGTCGGAAGGAGACTTTCTGACGCATCTGCCTCCGCGATCAGGAAGGAGAAGCGGCAATGGAAGATGAAGATAAATTCATCTTTATATTTTATTATTTAATTAGTTTAGTTCGGGTTCCTGGGATATTCAGCCTTTCCTAAATGCGGAGTTAGATCCGCAACGAATCTATCTCATAGTAACAAACCGCCTGTTAGAACCGTCAAGCGTGGAAAAGTTGCCGTCTTTTCTATTTGGATGAGAAAGCTGTTTCGATTCCTGAGCATGGTTTGTTCGTGATGTATATTTGAACAATTTGTTCTTTATTTAATGGTGATGAGTTTCTGACTGAAGATTTGGGTTCAAATAATCCGACAGTCATTCACTATTTAATTCCGTGACGGGTATGCTGCTCTGGTCTGCTTTTGTAAGTTTCTTCCTGTCAGTTGATTTTGATTTTTCTGCTATACAACGTCGCTGTTTCCAAATCATTTTATTCCGCCAGTTGGATTCCGTGTTAACGCGGCTGCTCTCATTCCATTTTGTGCATCCCATTGACTTTCTATATGCTGTGTTCAGTCAAGGCAGACTCCTTCTGGTGCGCTCTGCTGAGACAAACTAAGTATCCATTTACTCGGTTTCTTCGACGTAGCTTCCTCCGTATGCTTCCTCATTACATTATCTCAGCCTACTGCGGTGATTCTATGATGGTTTTCTTACATAGAAGATTGTCAAGCTTGTCTTTTGGATCTGCGTACCGTCGTTACCCGGTGCCTGATCATGGAATGTTTGATTCTTTCGCTTAGGTTCTTGTGCTAGGGAATGACCAGGGGGTAGCAACTTCGTAAGTCTTCTCTCATGTTGTTGTCTCCTCTGAGTTTCGGTACTTGTTCGGCTTCCAGTCACCTAGTTTAACTGTTTGAGGAACAAAGTCATTGTATACCCGCTTTTTTCCAGTTCGGCCATAAGGCGGATCTTCTCCTACTGAAGTGACAGTATGTCACGACGTAATTGTATGTTCCAGAGGAACAATGTTTGAATTAATCCCGCTTAGATGGATATGGGACTGTTAGCATGGACGTTAATATTGCGTCCGACAAGGGCGGGTTTCTCGTATGAAGCAGTGCTTAATGTCCCGTTCCATCTACGCATATTCAAGAATAAAAGTTCCCCTTCAAGAATGAGTGAGCTGAATGATTTCGTGGATAGAGTTTAAGCATCCACATAATAGTTCCGTCGTTCTTCTCAATGCGGCCGTAGGACATGTTTGTTTTTAAAATACTTGTTTTCTGTCAATGGTCTCAGTTTCATTTACTGTCTACAATTTCTTCGAATTGGTTCATATAGATCTCTGCCACAATGGGCGATAGGGATTATTTTACTGTGCAGCAACTCTGTTTAGTATAGTGCTTTCGAGTTGCTATTAATTTGGTTGAGTGAAGAGATTTGTGCGGTTATTCGACATTATCAGCGTGCAGTTCTGTGGTCGCGAGTTTGAATCTCTATGACTGGCGTGTGGTCACCTGAATCATCTGTTGAGTCCAGCAAATTACATTGCATATTTATGAGCAGCTCTCCCTCAAATGCCAAATTTTTCTCAAACCACTGGAGTTTTGGTTAGTGAATTTAAAAATTATTTATGGTTTCATTTTCCCGACAGCGAGAACCCATCGCTGATTCATCGCAAATCGTGCTCTCACGAGATTGACTTTGTATAGTGGAAGATGTTTGCCCCTATGCCGTTTCCAAGTTTCTCATCAATTACATATCGATGAATAGCTCTCAATGAGTGCAATTCTAAAAGTCTGTAAAATTAGTGAATTTTATGAGGTTCAAAGTTTCATTTTATGACGGCATGATAACACGAACTCTGTCTAACTTTACTTTTCTTTTCTTCTCAAAGTGTTGAATTGGAACGAATGATAACAGTTGTCCAAATTTTTCACGAAGTTTGATTTAAAGTCGAATTATCATATAAGAATAACGAACTGACACACAAAGTAACTTCATTTGTTGCAGAAAATTTTATATGTACTATTGCATTATTGGGACTACATGAATTTATTCGTTATACCGAATAAAGAAAAGGAAACAAATTAGAAATCACTTTTATTTTGGAAATAGTCATATAAATGCAAATAATCATAGCAAGGCTTTATTTTTGATCCAAAAGTCCGTTATTTTCAATTGCGCCATATTTGTAGCGGTGCCATTAAAAATTAAATTAATATACTATTTGACTGAAAAATATTTTCTGGAACATAAACAGTAGGTGACAAATACGCATGAACTTTTTTAACACTGTTTAAAGCTTCTGAAGGCAAAATTTTTTCATTAAATGACTCAGCAACATTTTAATCCCTATCTTCACTATTTACATAGTCGTCATGGCGGCATGTTGACACAGTTGTGTGACAGGTGTGCTTCGAACACCGGAGCTATCGGTTCGATTCCGCTTGAAGGCAATCATTCACTTATTCTAGAATTCCCATGAGCAAGAAGTTCACCAAACACACTGAGACTGCTCAACAGCAGAGCGTTGAACACAGCCGATAGGTCCTGACTTCAATCCCTGTCTCGATCACTGGTCCCTCTTCTTTTCGAGGTTCATAAATGAGTATCGCTGTGTGGGAGGGAAACAGGCACGCCATGCTTGCCACATGGCTGTTGACTCTGCTGTTAAAGAATAAGGAAGTCCTGGCTGA